ATATATCCGCATTTAAATCTATTTAAATCTATCGATAAAATGCTTAAAATTAATATATATAAGTAAATAAGCTTTTATCAATATCGATAAAGCCGATAGGATGAAATAAATGATGAAACATTATTTATGATCATGAATATAATTGTGTGCAGAAAAGAAGATAAATTAAATTCATCATTTTGAAGTTAAACATATTTTCGAATATTTGATATGAAGGTCTATCTAAAAAAATTTTATTTCTCATTCTTGATTTACATTTTTATGGGGAATCATGTCTTGCTCGATAATGTTGATTTAAAAAAGAAAACAATATTATCGGTCAAAACAAGATTCCCCATAAAAATGTAAAAGAATAAAAAATAAAATGACAAAATTTTTTTCAATTATATAATATTTTAATGAATGTTTTTTTAATGTTTCTACACAAACTTCAGTATCTTCTCTAGGTTTAGTGATTTTCAACACAATTTTGCAATTTTATCATTTGTGTTATAAAAATGAGCATTTATTAAAAATAACTCGTTAATTTGTAAGGTATTCACAATTGGTGAATTTTGAAATAACCCGTAAATTTTCTTAAAATTTTACCAGCATATGTAATTTTACAATTTAAAAAAAAATTAAAATTGATTATTCACTCGATGAACCAAACAATCATTATTTATCTTATTTTGATAAAACTCACATTAATTATTCAATGAAAATGGCGTAAATATAATTTAAATATAATAACAATCTAGATATAATAATCTAGATTGTTATATATTAGGTACATATGAAATGTCCAATTTAAAATTTGAATTGACATTAAATGAGTTAAAGCTATCAAATTTTATCTTTTCCTTAATTACATTTCAGAAATATGAAATTTGCTTTAAACCATGTAATTTAATGTCAAAAAATTTATATATATACTGCAGATTTTGATATATTCACAGTAAATTTTGAAGTTTGAAATTGCATATAATACTTATACCTATGAGATACAAAATGATACAATGAGATCTGTCTACAAAATTCATTAATGTTATAGAAAATAATAAATTAATTATATAAATTAATAATATTATATAAAACAATGTTTTATCTATGGCTCTACTACGCTAATTATATTAACAAAAATATAAATTTGTATAAAAATTCGCAGTCTATTTATACGTAATAAAGACGTCAGAATGTCATTATTAATCATTGTAATTAAGAAGAAAATTAAGTTAAAAATTTAAAAAATGAATGAAATATCATACAGAAATTGTTTCAACTGAAAGAAACTATGTGTGACTAAAAAGTTTCATCTGGAAAAACGACATTTTACATGCATCAACTTATGAAACCTATGGATCGTTTTATCCTTTCTTCTTGAGAATTAGAAAGGGTGATTAAAATATCAATTTTCTATAAAGTTTTATATCTAAATCTCTAATCGTCGATGATAAAAAAACTACGATTGTTTTGACGGATAAAGTAGTAGTAACTGGATGTTAAATAGGGAAGGCCGTAGGCAGCACGTAGAGCTTATGTTCAAATGGAGCGTAAAGTGGTGGTTTGGAACACGCTAAGTGGATAATATCCCTTTTCCTGTGACATACTGAACGTTATGAAATGTCATGGAAGCTACCGTAATAAGTTGCACGCGAACAATACGGAAAGGAACGTGAAGGATACCTTTCCACATTACTATTAAGCTTGTGAATCATCCTTCGTGATCTTTTTTAAGTTCACTAATGGAAATAATGGAAACCAAATATTTAAGTTTATCGTTATTTTTGGATAGAAAAATAAGTTTTTCTATTACTTTTTATTGATTAAGATAAGCAATGAAATTAAATAATTAAAAAAGTTCTATCTATATTTCTTTTGATAACAAAAAACAATGCAGAAACACTGAAGAAAAGAACATTATTTTCTTTTTTTATACATTTTCTTACATTCTTCTTTTTTTTCACGAAAATGCCA